GCAAGGTGTTCGTCCAACCTCCTCTTAAAAACCCCCAGGGTAGGAACCTGCACCACCTCTCGTGGAAGTTGGTTCCAGACCCTAGCCGCCCTGACTGTGAAATATCGCCTCCTGATGTCCAACCTAAACCTACCCTCTGCCAGCTTGTGACCGTTATTCCTGGTCACTCCTGGTGGTGCTCGGGGGAACAGTGACTCCCCCAATGCCTGCTGATCTCCCCTGACTAGTTTATAACAGGCCACAAGATCCCCCCTCAGCCTTCTCTTTTGGAGGCTGAACAGGTTCAGGTCCCGTAGCCTGTCCTCATAGGGCCTGCCTTGCTGTCCCCTGATCATGCGAATGGCCCTCCTCTGGACCCTCTTGATGCTGTCCACATCCCTCTTGAAGTGCGGCGCCCAGAATCGGGTGCAGTACTCCAATTGCAGCCTGACCAGTGCCGCATAGAGGGGGAGGATCACATCTTTTGACCTGCTTGAAATGCATCTGTGGATGCATGACAAGGTATGGTTGGCCTTCCTAACTGCCTCCCCACACTGCCGACCCATGTTCATCTTGGAGTTTTCTTTTGAACATTACTTTTTCTGTGTTATCAAGAACATTCTAACATTGTATGCCAGCATTTTTTATATTAGTGTTGTTGCTTCAGTGAACAAAATGTTTCAGCTTCATCTAAGAGTGCTTCCTTAGTACTTCTTGCTTTGCAGCAAGTTTTACTCCTTTTCTTAATTGAAGCTATATGGAGTCAAACAAATGCAGCCAGCTTCCTGGTTTCTAGATGTGCTAATGTATTTGTAGTGGTTATGATAGTAAATTCATTCATAACTGCACATAAAGTTGGTACCAAGAGAGCAAGATAAAGCATAGCCATAATCTTTTAGTTTCTGTTTCAGAGAAAGTTGTGGTAGTTGCATGATTGTGAAATCCTCATTTAATGATTCAGATTGAAATTGACAGTAAATTTGCTTACAATGTGATGCAGGAGTATCCTGGAGACTACCTTAGTATTTTTAGTAATCATTTTGGATTTTATAGTTACTTCATGAATATTGGATGGTATTGAGGGATCATGTGTCTGCTATCGATGAACTTGCCATGGCCACAGAACGGTTGAGAGTGCGTCATCCTGATGAGCCCAAGCCGAACCCTCCAGTACTTCACATCATAGAACCACATGAGGTAAAATAATGGTGTTCTCTTGTTCCCATTCCCGTTCTCTCTTTCTTTCTCTCCATATGTGTGTAGACAGATATGTTGCCTTATGTAACATCAACATACCTTAGGAGGCTTTGGACAAGGAGAATGGTAGCTGTAATCCCCAGGATCCAGGGTTTCACACCCCTCTGAATCCTAGAGATGGCAGCAGCCATGATTTGCTGGGTCTGGGGTTTTTCACTGGGCATAGTGTGCCTCTGGAGGTGGGAGCCCCCTCAGCTGAAGGGAGACTGCAGAGGAGACCGTGCTACGCGTGCAAATTATAGCAACCAGCTATAAAGTTAGTGCACATTTCTGAGGTCTAACTTCATAGCTGGTTGAAGCTTTTTATTGTGTGATACCTACTTTTCCCATGTAACTGACAATTGCACAGTTAATCAATTAATTGTACAATAGTTGTAATGTGTAAAGGGGGCCTATATCTATACATAGGTATCTATATGTATGTAGATCTATAACAATTCATCTATATATAAATATATTGTTTATATATCTGTCCTTATATATAGATATGAAGATATGGGTGTAGGCCGTACTGATTAATACAGGCATTTAGCAGTACATACACAACTCATGAGGATCTGAGACAGAAGTTCAATAAACCAATTTAATGTAAATCAGTTAAGTCTGATACTATATCTATCTAGGTTTATCCTAAACTGGTTTGGGCCCTTTTGAAAGTGGTTTGTATGCACTGAATTTCTGTTGTCTTACAGATTTGAACTGGTTTCTGATCATTTGTACCAGTTTATGTAATTTCTGTGCCCAGCCATGAAGGTTTTGTTAAAAACAGGCCTGACTGAAGGCTAACCCCATACCCACCACAGCCCGAGACTGGTGTTTTTGAAGTTAAGCTTGATAACCCCTTGACAAAAATTGATTGATTGATTGATTGCCAAAGAGTCCAAAATGCACATAAGAGAATATCAAAAGGTACAAGGATTTAGGGTAGTTTGGTGAGGGATGGTGCTGTTTATGTAAGTACCTAATGCAAGCAAATTGCTTGAATTGCTGTAAGGAGGCCTGAAAAATTCTGGAACTTTGTACTAGGCCTATGGGACTCTCTTCTCTCTCTTTCTCTATGCAAGCTGAGTCTGTGTCTTATCACAAGCATCCAGGGCTTGCAACTTTTAGACAAGTGTGTTAGCAAGGTGGTACTTCGTAGGTAATAAACCTTATTGAGTCTTTGCCACTGAGCTGTATTTGTGATAATCAAGCGTATAATGTTGAGGTCCTCAAAGAAACACTCATGCTGCCTGCTGCAGTAAAGACAGCACCTGCCAGAATGCTTCTACACAGATAACTACACTGACCAGCAGGGGCGACATGTAGGGGATATATGTGCACCCCCTGAGAGTGCCAGAGCACCGCCTGTCAGGCCGTGCTCCCTGTTTAGCTGGGGGGCAGCGGGGCAGGCGGGAGTACCAGTACCCCCCCGCGAACGGAGGCTGGGGAGCGCTGGCGGCTTTTACAGTGAGTGAGATCGGCCACCAGGAAACTCCCTTTCCCTGGCTAGTGGGATTGGCCGCCCACCGCAGTCACTGACTTGTGTCGGGGGGGCTAACTCAAGAGGCACTAGACATCCATGCTGACCAGGATAAAAACAGAGGAGTAACAATGAGCTAGATGCTTGCTTTCTAATTTTCTACAACTTCTTAGATTCTGCATTCAGCAAAACATTTCAACTTACCCTGCAAAAATAGGATTGAAAAATTAATTTTTAAGTGACATGATCAGGTTGTAATTCAAAATGTAAAATTTTCCTTTTTAAAGAACAGACTTTTTACAAAACCATAGAAATTTATTCATTAAACTAAAGAGGAATCACTTATTTTTTTTTTTCAGTCCTCAGTGTTTATCTGTAGTGTTTGCAGCTTTTGCAGGATTAAAATTGACTAGAAACAAAAGTCAACTGGACAAATCCATTGTAATAGAATATGCTAACTAAGTGGTTCTCAACTTTATTAGATTTAGGACATCTCTCCACAAACTTTTTGAATTTGGTGGCACCCCTGGGGGACAACCACTGTTGTACTGCCTCAGTTTACTTCTGTTGTTCTCAATCAGTGTGCTGCCACTGCACTCAGGTAAAAGTGCCCTCTGTGCCTTGTGCACACCCAGGCTGGACAGGGTTGTGGCATTTGTGTTCCCCTACTTCCATCTGGGTATTCTAATAAAACTAAAACAGGCAGGAGAGGCTGCCTGTGCTGCAGCCTTTTCTAGTCTGCCCCCCTCCTCCCATGCTTCTGGAAACAGGCATGCAGGAACGTTTTTGGGCGATGTTGTGCAGGGAAGGGTCATGGCACAAGCAGGCTCTCTTGCCTGTGTTATGCTATCAAGAACCTTTACCAAGAGAAGGAGCGAGTACCCATGCCCCTGCCCATCCTGGTCTAGCTGTGCACACGGTAGGCAGGACATTTTTACCTGGCCATTGTGGTGGCAGCAGCTGTTATGTGGCGCCCCTGAAAGGGTCTTATAGCACCCTAGTTGAGAACCACTGGGTTAAATGAAGAACAGAGAAAACTAAAGTAAAAAACAGCATCGGTTGTGAAAAATTACTAAACAGTTGGGGTCAGCTCACACAGGTTGGTTGAAGAATTATCGTTAGGTGCTGGCATCAATTATTCTGTAAATCGGGGCTCTCCAACATCTTGGTGGCCATGCACTGCATGGGTGTAGACCAGGAGGCTGCATGCCACTTGGGCCACTCGCTATGTACTTCCCTCTCTCCCTCCCTACCTCCTGCCAGGAGGTAATTTCTAGACCTGTAGAGGTCTAGAAAATATTTCATACAAGTTGGGGTTTGAAGGAATTGAGATTTAGTCTACGAAGAGAAGACTAAGGGGTTCCATAACAGGCCTAAAATACCAGGAAGGTTCTTATGAAGAGGGTGGCAATGCATTGTTCTCCATGGATACAGGGCACAGGACAAGAAATCATAGAGATTTCAGTTGGATATATGAAGAACTGTCTAATTCTGAGGGTGGTTAAGCACTAGAATGGATTATAGAGAGGTTGTGGACTCTTCAATACTAAAAAATGTTGAATGCAGATTAGACAAATGTCTTTCTGGGATGGCTTAAACAAGGAAGACTTTGCCTTGAGCAGGGGGTTTGATTAGTCTCAAGTCCTTTCCATCCCTATCTTTGACCCTCTTTTGTATGATTCCATATCCATGTTTAATAAATGCTGTTTTTTAGGTAGAGCAAAATCGAGTGAAACTTTTGAATGACAAGGCAGTTGCCAAATCCCAGCTTCAGAAGAAACTAGGCCAGCTCCTGTATCTCACTAATTTAGAGAAGGTACAGTATACTTGTTACACCCATATTACAATTTAGTGTCACCCTCTAGTGCCCAAATTGGCAATCCATTTCAGTGCTTTCATTTATATATATATTTATCAGTAGATTATAGTTTTACTTTAAAGATGCACTGTAATCTTATTACCTTGTATTGTGAGTGACTACCACATGATATATTACATAATCACATAATGAACATGAGCTGTTAGTGTGACAAAGTCATCAGCAAAGCTAACGGCACTTTATCATGCATCAGCAGATGCATGACAAACAGAACCAAGGAGGTGATACTTCCCCTCTCTTGGGCACTGGTCAGACCGCAGTTGGAATACTGCATCCAGTGTTGGACGCCACACTTCAAGAGGGATGTGGATAACCTGGAGAGGGTCCAGAGAAGGGCCATTCATATGGTTAAGGTCTTGCAGGCCAAGCCCTACGAGGAGAGACCAGGGCACCTGAACCTCTTCAGCCTCCACAAGAGAAGGTTGAGAGGTGACCTTGAGAGGCCTATAAATTCATCAGGGGGGTGTAGAAGGGAATAGGTGAGGCTCTACTCACCAAGGTGCCTTTGGGGGTTACAAGAAACAGTGGCCATAAGCTAGCAGAGAGCAGATTTAGACTGGACATTAGAAAGAACTTCACAGTTAGAGTGGCCAAAATCTGGAATGGGCTCCCAAGGAAGGTGGTGCTCTCCCCTACCCTGGGTGTCTTCAAGAGGAGGTTAGATAGACATCTGGCTGGGGTCATCTGAACCCAGCACTCTTTCCTGCCTATGCAGGGGGTCAGACTTGATGGTCTATTGAGGTCCCTTCTGACCCTAACGTCTATTAATCTATAATCCATGTTGTATATGTTACATAAAAATACTATATAACATAATATATTTTGGCCACTTTCTAAATCACTCAAATGTGAACATATAAACAAACAATCTAAAATGACTTTTTTGTTTCTTTTCAGCTCTTGGTACGAAAATCTGTAAATAAGCAGAAATAATATAATTGTCAAAAGTATCCGCTAAATATATGTGCTAATTTTCATAAGTTTCTTAAAAGATATTACTTTTTTGAAGCATAATATTCAAATAGGTCAAATTGTTTGCAGAAGAGTGGTTCTCAATGGAAACACTGCTGCTGCAGCCATTTAAGAGTGCCCCTTGTGCTTCCTATGGAGCCAAATTGGGAAGTGGTTATGGCAGGAGCTGGCAGTCCTGCCTGCATTAGGTTTAAGCCAAGTATGGCCCCATGTATCCTTGCATATTCCTTTTGGAAAGAAGCAGGTGGGTGAGCTCCATCTGAAGACAGCAGCACAGCAGCCTGGAGATAAATTATACACTGTCCCACATACATCTGTTCCCAGGAGAGGCATGCAGAGTAAGACTGGGAATGGCTGTGGTAGGAGCCAGTGCTCCTGCCTTTATTAGGGTTATCAAATAAACCTAAAAGAGAAATAAACCTTTAGCTCCATCTGAGGCACACAGCAGTTTCACCTGGCTGTAGTAGCACCCTTGAAAAGGGTCATATGGCACCCTGGCATACCATGGCACCCTGGTTGAGAACCACTGCTTCAAAGGTTTCTTTTGTGATACCGGATTTAAATGCCTGTTAGATCTTTGCCTTGATTAAATAAGTTCATCACCAGTATTGAACACTCTGGTTAGTTTACTGTCACTGGTTTCCCAGCAACCTCTGGTCATTCTACCCAGGAGAAAGTTTGTATTTTCTGCCCCACTTCTTCCATTGTATAAGTCCCCAGTTATCTCAAGAGATTATGGAACAAGACAAGCTAGTTGTTTTAATTCAATTACACCTTGAATATCTTGGAATGGTTTTATGATGGTGGGGTGATATCTCTTCAAATGATGTTTGGTGGCACATTTCAGTACTCCAGTACTTATAATATAAATAGTAAGTACTATGTATATGTTTCTAAAAAATCTAAAGCAGACAGTTAACAGGTAATTATTTCAGATAAAGATTGTACAGAATTGTGCTCAATATATTAAGGGATAATTACCCAGTGTGTTTAAGAGGGAGACTGCCCTGGTGCAGATGACCTGTTGTGCAAAGTTTGATTTGGTGATATTTATGCCAACTACTTTCCTATTCCTTCCTACAGTAATGACAGAACATTTCATTAAAAATGTAATGACACTTTTAAGCATATTTGATTATTTTGGTCTGTTATATAATCTGGCTGATGTAAAAAATGTAGTAGCTCTTGTAGTGTAAGTTAAAACTTAATTTAAAAAGAAGGAAAGGAGATCTGTACAACATTTTCCATCAGGCTTTTTATTACATTGAAACACTTCTGATGAACATTTTCAAAGTCTGATACAGTTTGAAAAACAGGTATAAATAGAACTGTTATTAATTAATACTCTATTTACTATTTTTGATTCATGGTGTGGAGAAGATAATCTGGTTTTATTTCTACAAAAATTAGCAAAGGAAGTTCAGCAACTTTAAAAGCAGTTATAAAATCAGTTCAGGATTGACTGTAATACTGTATTTGCTCAAATATGGTGAGGGTTCCCCCCCTCATTTAGCATAGGGAGGAAAAAAACCTCTTAGAATCAAGTACAGACCAGGCAAGCTATTGCTGTGGCTGTGGAAGAGGGGCATGGGTGGCTCATGTGACAGGTGGGGTGTTCATGGGAGAGCATGGGGAAAGGCCGGTGGGATTGTGGGAGATGGGATGGGCAGAGCAAGTGGGGCATGTGTGGGCAAACGGCACAGGGGAAGGGACGTGAGCACAGTGCAGGGGGGAGCTCAGGGGAAAAGGTGTGTGCAGTGCGGGGGGGGAACAAGAGGAAGGAGTGCACGATGCAGGGGGAAACAGGAGAGAGCAGTGGAGGTATTGCAGGAGAAGGGACATGGGTAACATGGGAGGGTGTGCGATGCGGGGGAAACATGAGGAAGGGACACAGTGCAGGGGGAGCACTGGTGAAGAAATGCACAGAGCGACGGGAATGCAGGAACAGAGACATGGGGTGCAGGAAAGGGAAGCAGCAAGGGGATGTGCACTACAGATGGGAAAAGGGTGAGCAGTTCTGGGGGAACATGAGGAAAGGATGAGTGGTGTGGGGAAAGGGACTTATAGAGTGCTGAGCAAGTGGAGTGTGGAGCAAGAGGAGCATAGGGAACAGGTGTGTTGAAGGAGTACATAGTGAATGGTGAGCACTGAGAGAGGCATGCACAGGGAAGGGGTGTGTGGAGTGGTGCAGGAGTTGCTATGGCTTCGACCCCCACCCTGACTGGGTGTGGAGGCTGAAGTCAGAACCGATGCAACTGTTTGGCCCTACCAGGTGCTCCATGACCCCCGCAGAGACAAAGCAAAAACAGTTGTAAAGGTGAAGAGGTCAAGTGGTAGGAAGGCACTAGGGACAAGTGGCAAAGTTTACCTGCCCAAGGGGCATAGGGCAGGCTGCCTGTCCCCCAGCTACTACTTCCCTGCCACTAGTTTTCCTGGGGAAGTGGTAGGAGGAATGAATTTAAGAGGACCCTTCAAGAACTAGTTTCTAGTCGTGGAAAATTCAAAGTAATTTATAATTTTCCATGTCTCCAGTCTCACAGTTGAAGGGTTGTCTTAAATTCAGTGTTGTCTTAGATTCGAGTAGATAGGATAACTTTCCAAATAGATTATTTAAAATATAGATGATCTTTTTTGGGTTTTTTTGAAAAATGAAAACGTTTCTGTTTTATAGTCTCAGGATAAAACCACTGGTGGAGTTAATCCAGAACCCTGTCCAATTTGTGCTCGCCAACTGGGAAAGCAGGTAAATAACCAGGAAGTGATCCTCTCTTTTACAAAATTCTTAGACTTGATTTCTGCCATCTGAATTTAAATGAGCATTGTGTTTAAATTTGAGAAACTTAAGATTTTTTCAAAAACACCATGTTATTGAATTCTCTCATCTGTGTATATGTTCCTTTTGATTTCTTTACTCAATGAAAGGTAGACTATAGGGTCTGGTTTTCTGTATCTGTTCTTACTGAGTTTTTAATTTTTTTTCTTCTGAGAATAGAAAACTTTAAAAAATGTATATTAGCTGTTCAGAAACTAAAGGGATGCAATAGGGTAGATACTGATACTCTGGATTCTTTTATTTTTCAGAACTAGAAAAGCTGGAATTTGAGAGTGAGTTTAGTGAAAAATGTGAGATTATGAGATGCATGCCTTATGTCTTTAAATACAGGTGCAGTATAGGTAATGCTTCATGTACTGTCTGCTGAATTTAAACTAGTACCCAAGACTAAAAGGCTCTATTTTTTTTATCATATCTGCTGTGTTACCTCATCTCTCCAGAATTTATATTTTGTTCTAAAGCTTATGGCTGCCTATACACATGCTGGTTCACATTCTAATTAGAATGCTTCTGCATGGTCTCACTGTCACATGTATAATGATGTTGTAGCTCATCAAATGAAGTTTAGATAAAGCATCTCATGGTGGGGCCTTAATACGTGTGACAGTGGGGCATTTTAATTAGAGTGGCTCTCTAGGAACCGCTCTAATTAAGATGCGTCCCCCATCCCCCAGCTCTTGAGCATGTGTAGAGGCAGCCATAGTTCTCAGACTACTCAGGTGGTCCACAGAACTGGGTGATCACATCTGGGAGCTGAATTCTTCATTGTCAGTTGCTAAAACTATGTTAATTGCAAAATACTAGTTCTTTGTTAATTGTTGTAGTTGTCATAGGAGAATTACATAACCCCTCCTAAAGGGAAGGTGTCCCCAACACAGTCTCTGCATTAATTTATAGTCCATTCCATAGAAACCCCATATTGAAAACATTCTTTCGTTTTAAGAAGTGAAGTGCCATTGCAATTAAGTCTTATCAAAAAAATTAAAACACTTGGTCTCAGGACTTTTGAAGTAAGAATTGTCACTTTTTTGTTTTGCGATGACAAGGTGAAATCTGAATCAAAATATAGGTTCTATAAAATATAAACTCTTCCAAACTGAAATCCAAAAGAAATATTTCCATTTAAATTTCTTAAATTCTTTTACAAACAGTAACATGTTTCCTTCTCTGTTATGTATAGTCTGCATTAGAGCATGGTTTTAGGTCATAACAACTAAATTAAAAAAACACCCAAGATTTTGTTTAAAAAAAAAAAAAAATTTACCCTATCTGATTTAGCTTTCCAAACTGAGACAAAGATGATAAACATAAATAGTACATCTTCTTTGAAAACTTCCATTAAAAATTGTCCTTTCTTTGAAATTAATATATTTCCTTATGTTGAAATTCAAGATTTTTCAACTAGCTCCAGTACAGTCTTTTTTTTTTTTTTTTTTTTTTTTTAATTCCCTCAGTTTTAATATTCTGAAGAGTTGTCTTATTCAAGGTAAGGTCATGTTTTGTTAACATAATCTTAACTTTATGTGCCTCTGTGACTGCATGTGTGGGGAAAAAATAATATTTTTTTTATTTCCCTTTCTAGTGGGCAGTTCTGACTTGTGGGCATTGCTTCTGTAATGAATGTGTAGCTATAATTATAGAACAGTACAGTGTTGGCACCCGCAGGAGTTCGATTAAGTGCGCCATCTGCAGACAGACAACCTCTCATAAAGAAATATCTTACGTCTTCACTGCAGAGACTGCAAACCAGGAAGATGATATTCCTGTGAAGGTAATTGGCCTTACAAAGAATTTCTTGGCACAGATTTTCAGAGATGCACACTCTAAGAGGGTTTTTGCAGCTAAGTTGGATGTGATTTACCTGAACTTTTTTGATGGCATGAGCCTTATTTTTTACAACTTTCTAAAAAATATGGTCATTTGGAAGCATTAAGTAAACAGTTCTTTTTTCCAAAAAATAATTCTACCTTCATATTTTTAAAGTTGCTGCATGATGGCCTCAAAGATCAGCTGTTTTAAAATTATAGGAGTAAATACGTCTGTTGGGTTACATCTGTTAGGTGAATTAGAAAGGTAAACTTTTGCAAAAGTATGGACTGTCTGTCCTTCACGTGAAAAAGGCTTTGGTTAGTTTTAGTCAAGTTTTCTTAACATCTGATACCATGTAATTATAGATTCATAAATATGTAAATGACGAATTGTTTGGTTGACTGTCAAATTATTGATTGGCTTTCTATAGATAGCCAAAGCTCTAATTCCTTTTTTGGATCCAGTTCTGTTTACTCAGATGAGTAGCACTTATTAAGATAATTATGTCTTAGCTGCAGGTGTAGCAGGATATTTTCTCAGTTGGTTAAAATATAAAACTATTTACTAAAGATCCAGAATATTATTTCTAAGTTTAGATTGCTGTTGGTTTTCTCACCTTTGGGATGTACAGATTAGATTTTAATGGGCTTTAAGAGTACCTGTCAAAGATTGCCTACAGTTCACACTAGAGTAGTTTTAAATGGAAAGAGTCTTGTAAGTATGATGATTTGTTTTCATTTTTTTTAAGACAGAGCAAAGATTATATATGTACAGTCATAGAACACTTCAGGAAGTAGTCGCTGCTTGATTAAATTGCTTCCAGTAGAGGGCTCTATGGCTGCTAGTAAGCATTTGTTGCTATAGCTCTTATCCTGGAATTGCCCATTTTTTGTTTTAAATCTGCAGTGGATTATTGTAATTCTCTTTTCAATTGCTTTGACATTGACTTGAAAATAGCAGCAGTATCAGAATATAGCTTCTTTTTTGCCCAGTAGTTAAAGGATAAGAGTTGAATCTGTAGCACCCTTCCGCCTGCATTTCCTTTCATTTAAGTCAGCGAGTTTGGTTCAAAGTTTTAGTGAATGTATAAAGCTCTAAATAATTTAGACTCAACATTATAATGTTTTTTTTATTTCAATTGCAGTAGAGCCAGTGGGAAACTTTCAGGCTTTGTGGCCTTTTTTCCAGAAAATGCCATTTTGTCAAAACAAACTATTCACAAGAACATTACGTCACTTGCAACTGAGCTCTATTGGGAAATGTTTCTTGGTTCAGAGATGGGAAAGAGAAACAGAGTGCTATTGCTACCCCCCTGAGAGTGATTAGTAACGTGATGCTCACAGCACTTGCCTATCATGTGGACCTCGATTTTAAGACCCTATTCATAGTTCAGAAAAGCAGTGTGCACTTGAGCTGCTCACATTCCAAGTGAGTTCCTAGACCACCAAGCTATTGGCTGTTTGGTAATTGTATCGCAAACACATTTGAAAGATCTTGGTTTCATCCCAGTGTGAAATAAAAATGTTTGAAATCTCACAATTTCTTAACATAGGGAGATTGATTATCTTAAACAGACCTGGGTAGGAAATAGCTGGAACACTGATATAGGTACTTTAAAACACAACAAAAAACAATCACTGCTATGAACAGTTTACAGTGCATATCGTCCCTCTAATGTGGGCTGTTGGGGGTTGAGAAAAGCATGATTATTTTTGTTTTAAAAGTGAAGTTTTATTAATAAACCAGTAATTCATAGTGGTTCAGAAGAAAACAGTGAAGAGCCTGTTTTAAGGTCCATTGGTAGAGAGGCAGGTACATTGGTATTATTTTAAGTGAGGCAATTGAGAAGTCTTTTTCTTTTTTCTACTTTCCTCTGAACTGTTGAGTAGTTGGCCACAGCTCAGGCTCAGTTTTTGACTAGGGTGCATTCCTGCTGGTGCTTGGAAAACTTAGATTTCCTAGCAAGAGGGTCTTGCTCTTACAGTCAGGTTTATACAAATCACCAAAATTAGGGTCAGGAAGGCATTGTTCCTAGATCAGGGGTAGGCAATTATTTTAACTGGAAAGTTGCTTCATGAGTTGTA